GATGCGACACAGGACCGTGCTTTGTGGCATTTCTTAGGGGAGGCCTATGGTCATCGGTGGACTTGTGAAGGGTTTTAATGATGATGAATGATAATGGCATTATATTAAGATACATAAATAGAATGGAAGTTACGGGTAGAGTCCATCTATCCATAGAGTCCATTCTATTTATTTAGGTATGATTACGTTAGTACTCTTATTAGTTTGTGGGTATGATAGGGTATAGAATTTTTATCGATATAATTTGGTACTCTGTCTTATCCCTATTATTAGTTCCGTGGATGTTCACTTCTGTTGTCAGCGCCAAAATGGCGGAAATCAAATCGCTTCATCATGTCACGGTGTATAGCCAGTACGTCAGTAGGCTAGGCTATATAAATATAGGCAGTAGTCCAGCGTACTTGTATATATAGAGGTCAGTGGTGTAACAGGTGAACGGAGTAGAAGCCTATGGCTCTGATATTCTACATTTTTTTCTTTCGTTATTATGAAATTTATCTTCAATAAATACTACAAATTTTGAACTAAATAAATAAATTAATTAAAAACTATCGAAATTCAAATCATTATTAGCTTTATTCACGCTCTACCATGTGAGTACAGCTAAATGAAATGATAATTTCCAAAAAAAAATCATGAAAATACTTAAACATAAAACCAGCAGTGGAACTTAAATAAATTCAGCTGACAATAGGGTTAAAAGGGTTCGCGCAGACGCCGAATTCACGCGACCCGCAGCTAGCGATCGTACCGATACCTAATAATTAACAACACTTGTCGAAATACCTAACTTATCTACTTAACCTATTATTATGCCACTGTGCTAGTCTCCACCTAGCCACTTTAATTCGAATTCACAGGTTAAATAAACCAAATACCTGATTCGATTCACCGCTAATGAAAAATTTACTTAAATGAAATTTTACCAAGGATAGAGTCGTGCTTTTTTTCCATCGTGTGGGTATGTTTATTATTCTGATGTATTCAGTTATGTACCTATTCAGGTCAGTTCAATACTAATGTAGCAGCCAGACTAATCAACCCTAAACGGGAATAAATAATATATACTCTGCTGCTACCATAACGCGGAAGGCGAGGATAAAAAACATTTATTTCCTAACTATCCTTGGCTACTGAGATACTGCGATATTGCGGACTGCATATAGATAATTTGACGTTCTTATAAAGAAACAAGAAGCAGCCGCAAATATCATTCAGCGCCACATCGACTTCACACGCCGCTATCGTTACGTATCCGTCGACCAATGGTGAGCCGTTTCTTCAACGCCGCGCGCACCGATCTGCATGTCTTTTATAGCCCGGTCCAGCGACGTAGCTTCGTGAACAAGAAAACAAGTCTCACGCCGGGAAACGAAACGTAGATAATAGTTGTATATTTTGAATAATTTTCATTGGTCATAATATAAGCATTATAATTTGCTAGATAAAATAAAAATTGTTAACATTGGCAAATCAATTGTGAGCCAGCCATATAAATATAGGCAAGGTTGATGCAAATATATTCCATTCCATTCCACATTCATTCCATATTCATACTTCAATCGGACTTACATAAACAGTCGTTTCATTTCTCCACCTTAAAACCACTCGGAGTCTGTTAATAGTGGACCGTCCATCTCCACTATTACACTAAGTTATTAAAAAAAATAGGTATGAAATAGCTTACCGATCTAAATCCTTAAATAAACCTGCCCATACGTTAACCGACCAACGAGTTTGGTGCTCAGTTTGTCGAACAGTGTGCGGGTTAACCTCAGAATACACGTGCGTATTTCTTCGGTTCCACAGGCCGTTTCTGGTAAATGTCGACTCGTCCATTCAGAGGACATGCTTAATGAAACCTGGTACACGTGTTTGCTAGTCTAATACCCAACGGCAGAAAACTAGCCGGCAATCGTAATCGCCGGGAACTAAAGCTTGCAATTTGTGCACTTGTATGGATGCATTCGGTTACGCTTTAACACCTCGTGAACTGTCAAATATGACACACTTATTACATCCCGACGCCTTAACAAATTAGCGATACTTCGTTACCTACTAGGTGCGGATTCCGGCGAACGACATCTAAAATGCGCTCCTCGGAGTGACCAGCCCTGACTTGACTTCCACCTCCTACCGCTACCGGAGCAATGAACCGATTTTCCAAGACTCACTGAAATGCTGTTGTTATCAGAAAATAGGTCACCCACTCCCTTCAATTCATAGTCGTAGCATGTTAAACTTAAAAATTAACCGGTACAGGCATAGATAATATACTATAGGTACATGGCTAAACATTTCGAACTTTAAAATATATCCCATGTAAATCATATTTTTCATGAACTTCGCAACAAGTTATATATACATAATGTTGCGCGCCACAGTTGATGTCACTAGCGCCATCTATTATCGAACAGAGGAACTAAGCTTTCTAGAAAGCCCCACACTCGAAGTTTCTGCGCCTGGCCGGTCGGGGCCCATATTTGCTGGAATATTCTGAATGTTTCGATGGAAGAACCCTATTTAAAGCCGTTGAAAGCCGCGATCGAGGCAGTATTGAATTTGGCGATACAAGCGAAGCTTCGGTGCGAAATAAAGTGAATCAGTGTGATTAATTATTCGTCTTTTAAGTTTTAATTGGTGTTCAGTAACAAAAGTGTAAATTTTGGGAATTCAATCGGCAGTTTTTATTGTCACGAACCCTAAGCTCGTAACAATAATAACTCGAGCAGTTTAAATTTCCAGTGTATGTAAAACTGTAAGTCACAAGAGTATATTTATTTTTGTAAATAAATGTACTATTGTACCATTTAATATGCATTAAGAAACTATAAAAGTACTTGGGGATACCTTTAATAGATATAAATCGAACAAAAGGATTTTAACTTCAGGTTTAAAGCATTTTACTTAAAGCTTTTGTTCTACACTTTAATGGTACTTACGTCAATTTTGTAAATACATAGTACAGCAAATTTCATTACATTTAATAAAAACAATGTCATTAGAGCGAAGTCTTTCCCAAACGTAATAACCCTCACTTGTGCAGCTTAGTCTTTTGGAATGTGAACAGCTACTCCTAAAATACCAGCTGTGCAGTAGAGTACCGATTTATGACCACATCCGAGGCCTCAATTACTTGTTCAAATAGTCTTGTTGTCCCCTGCTTACCGCTATATCTATAGGCACAAGAATAAATTATTTGTACATTATGGTGCCTACAAATACACAAAGTGCGAAGAAAGTAGGGACAAGACACTTACAGCCATAGAATACTATAAATAGTATGTATTATAGCAGATGTCATACAAACTGGTGCGCTGGTGAAAATTATGGTATGTACCCAGGGTAAACAAGTTTCGCGGTATGAAGAGGATATCTAATCTGCGTGTCTGTCAAGAATAGTAAGGTTTGTCAGTCTCAAGGTGGCAGTGGACTGCGATAAGATTGTAACCCTTGTTTAGAGAAAAAAGCAGATAATTTTAATTTCTTACTTTTTACTTACGTTATCGGGTAGATGCTGTGTTACCCTACGCTATCCCACACGAGACGATAAGTCGTAGTGGATATTCTTACACCGCCACTACACGGTTAAGACTTAAGGAGTCCACGATCGTACGTAAGAATATGAAAAAAAAACCCTGGTATAATCAATAAAATTATACATATTTTTGGTCATATGATGAAAGCTCGGCGATCGTTATTCTATCTGCAACGAAACTTCTCCTGATTCGTAAGTGTTTGCCAGCAAGCTCCAGAATAAGTGAAATTAAAAACAATTTTAACTGTCAACGAATTTATTCAAAGGAAAATACTGCGGTGATTGCCTAACAAATATCTATTCTATCGTATCACAGTATCAATCCAAATGTTATGTCAATTCTCTTATAAGTAGGTACAAAAATATTTATTCATATAACGGTAGTAGTAAATTTCAGCAGCAGATGTAGTCGGCAACTTCTATATACTTAACGACTAGCAAATTGATAACAAAAATACCTAATTAGATAAAATAACTTACACCTAAATAAAAAAAATACAAAATGTAATAAATGCTAGTCCTTATAGATAAAGGAAAAATATCTTACGCCGTCATAGGAAAGTGAAGATAACACAACAAAAATATAAGTTCCCATTATCAATCAGAGATTCATAGATACAAAATTATTCTTAAATAAACCAAACATAGATCTTTATCCCCATGTTAACTGCATGTATTGGGATTTATTATTCGCAATAAGAACAATTTTCTTTGCGTTAATTCTATTTAACTGTTGCTATCTATTGTCATATTAATACAATTTTTACATATAAATTATCCAACATAATTTTAGCAACAATTTTGAATTTTGAAAGAATTGCTCGAAGTTATTATTATTTTATCATTACAAGAGGTGTAATGCACTGGGTATTCACGCATATTACTTAATCACTTATTTTATACAATAAAAGCATATTTGCTACAAACATGTGACTGAATTCAAAGTATTACTTAAGACTAAGTTAACCTAAATAATAATGTATTGTAAGTTTATATCAAAAATGTTTCGAGGTAGTTTTTAGTCAAGTTTTAAAGGCTATTTACATATGTGAGAGGGACAACAAAAAACATAGAATTTTCTTGAAATAGACAAAAATGTGTGAATTTATCTATATAAAACACATAAAATGTTTCCACCTATTCTATGTCCGTTATAGACTGAAACCATCTAAATGATTATGATTAAAAAAATTGCGTGTTTGAATGGGTCCCTAGGTGGTTTATATTCAATTTTGACCCGGTAGGAGGTGCTGTGGTCGAAATCCAGAAATAACCCGTGCGAAACCGGGCGGATCGCTATATATTACTAAATATATTAAAATGGAATGTCTTTAGACGATTTTGAAATTGCAAGCGGTATTCTATGTGTTAATTGTCCACTCTCAAGGAACCTTTTAACAGTCTACATTTTAATTTTCTTTTTAGCAAAATGTTAAAGGCAATAAGAAACATGGAGCTTTGTTTAAAAGTTTTCGAAGCCGGGCGGCGGTCGTATACAAGTTTGCTGTCCTTTTTGTACAGTCTCAAGAAATCTTCTAACAGCCGGCTCCACGGTTTTAGTTTCTTTTTGGTTAATGGGACTTAATGAGATCAGTTGGTCCACAGGGATATCCGTTTGTGTTTGCGCGGTCACCATATGAAACTCGGCCGCCTCGGGGTTGAGACGAGATGTGGAAACGGAAACGGACGCCATCGCTCTGTTGATGGCGTCCATCATGTACCTGTGGGCCGCGTTCGAGTCTACTTGGCTGAGGAGGTAGAAGATCTCGCATTCCGACGCGGAGAGGATGACGTTGTGGGGGATTTTAGGTGGAGTGACGAGCCTTGGAGTGTTGCCCGTGTAAGAAAGAGAGTCTTGCGAAATGGAGTGCTGGGAAGCATACGATTGACTGGACGGAGGCTGTGTAAAGTTTACTGTATTATATGACGTAGAGCGTGGAATTGTTTGTTGCGGATATTGTGAACCGTGTTGGTGTTGAGGATGTTGTAGGTATTGGGGATGTTGTGAGTGTTGGGGAAGTTGTGGCTGTTGGGAAAGTTGTGGGTGTTGGAAAAGTTGTGAGTTTTGGGGAAGTTGTGAGTTTTGGGGAAGTTGTGCGTGTTGGGGAAGTTGTGAGTGTTGGGGATGTTGTGAAAGTAGGGTATTTTGTGGGAGTTGAGGATGTTGCGGGTGTTGGGGATGTTGTGGGTGTTGGGAAAGTTGTGGGTGTCGGGAGTACTGTGGGTATTGGGGATGTTGTTGGTATTGGAGATGTTGTGGATTTTGAGAAATTTGCGAGTACTGCGCGGGACGGGGCAGCGGCGCTACTGCGCGTCGCGGCGGGGTGGGACACGGGGCACTCGCGTATGACGCCTCGGACTTTGTCACGAACAGCGGCACTCGGCTTTGAACATTTATCGGTGACGCGTCTGGTGAGGTGAGAGGTGAGTGTTGCGTGGCAGGGGGTGATGGCGGTGAGGGGGGAGTGGGCGGATCGGCGGGGCGCGGCAGGCAAGACGGCACGTGGCGCCGGTACTCTTCCACGAATTCGAGCGCGATGCCGTCGCGCAGGTAGTTGTGGATCTCGGCGTAGTTGGGCGTGTTTCCGTTTTCCAGTGCCTCGAAACTCGGGTACAGGTAACACTCCGACGTCTGCAATAATCGACCCGATTAACGACTTAATACATATTCAATTTAATAAACCTCAAGGTCGTGTGAACATAAGTCGGGTTGACTATTCAGACCCCGTAGGTTATATACCGAGAATTCGAGGAAGTGTTATTTTTGAATACAAACATTTTCTTTTCAAGTTAAAAGGTTCCTTTTGACAAGATACAAGAAATGGACGTTGAATCTAAGTATATAACCCCGACGTCTAAACGTTTAGATACATCTATTTACAAATAAACAATAATAAATAGTGTAGTTGCGATGTAAGAATATCCACTACCCCACATCATGAGGCGACTCAGTGAAACAAATTAGGAAATGGGCAAAAGCGTATTCTTAATAATGACATAAAACAATAAAAAGACTGCGGTTGCCCACTCGCTTGCTAAGTGTGGCGACTTTGGCAAATGTCCCCCACATGACGCAATTTATGGGAGAGGCCTATTTTTACTGTGGACTTTAATAAGATGTAACTGTAACGGTATAAATAATGAATAAGGACAAGAAGAAGTACCGTGGATTAACAACTTTATACAATTTTCTATAAGTATATTTTACAGAACATTATCTAATAAAAAAATAAAAACTAATCTATAAACTGCTTTTTACATTTTTATTTCTTTTTTAAATCAGTTTCATCAAAACCTACTCATATAAAATTCCCCTGTGATACGATTGCATGAAAATGTTGCTGTAGTCAGATTCCCCTTTTACAATAACGAGTTATTTACAAATAATTACTAGCTAAGAAGTGTCCTTTAAACATGCCAGAGAGATACAACCAACAATAGCAATTAATCCAACTTTTAAAACAGAAAATAAAAATTAAGCTTCACTTTCCAACAACGCAGATATGGGTGATCAAATTTTTACCAAGTAATTCATTTTTGAAATCTTTTAGCTAACTCAAGTCTGCGGCGTAAAACGCGGCTTTCTACACTCACAATACTATCGGGACTTTTCGCCGCTTTAACGTCGCCTGATGTTTCATTTTCAGATATATCCTTGTTCATTTGAAACTTCTTTTGCAATTTCGCATGCAGAGCAGTGATTCGCGCCAAATGTAGCGACGCGTGTGTCACTACGCTTGCAGCGTCACTTGTCACGTCGCTGACGTCCGCTGTCACTTTGACATTGTTATTATACTCTGTCCCTAGCATGCTCGCGACGTCACTAGCCCGTTCAAATGGGACGTTACTGTTTGTCTCGTGGTCTGTTAACGCACTGGGTATATTTTGCACGGCATTATTCTCCGTTGAATCGTCACATGCCCACGTTTTTAGCCGACGAGGACCTCTTACTTCGCTGGCGGAAGCTGATATGTCACTGAAGGTATCGAAGTCCCGCTGGTTGAATTGCGATATGGTCGTCACCAAAGAGCGGACGTCGAGGTCGTCTTCGGAGTTGGAACTAGAGTTGGATACATCACCAAGGAGTCGCGCTGGTTGGAATTGTGGACATCGGTGTCCGAGTCTTGATTTGTATGTGGATAGTAGAGTTGAAGGTGGATACTGGAAGTCAAGTTGACGGTGTATTTCACTTACCCCGAGGCAGGAATCGGGTCGCGGGTCAGCGTGTCCCGATTTAATCAGCTCCGTGCTGATGCAAATGTCTTCATCGGTACTAGTGTCGATCAGTAGCACCTCCAGGATGTCATCCTGTGGATAAAACGGACTTATATAGTCATGGCATGGAGGCAGCATAAAGAGAGAGTCACCGCAAATCACCGAGTGGCTTTCGTAGAAGACGATTTACGAGTTTGTATTAATGAGGTCAGTAAATATGACTGAGACACATCACCGACACATATATTAATGTTATTAGTGTTACGACAGCCAGTTGCATATTACATGACGTTGCACGAGAATGTTCAAAATGATAACGACTGTTAATTGGCCTCAGTCAAGCAATAAAATGTGTAGACATAAAAATTGTTAAAGTTTAAACTATTGATGCATGCAAGACACAAACCTTATGTCTACAGATATGGCATTTTCTCCTTTGGACATATTGTTATCGGTATGTAATCGTTAGTGTTCTGGGGACCTTCCGGTTGAAAGAGTGTAGGGAAGGTATAAAGTATAAGAGCATGCGCCACCGATCGGAGAATTAATTATTCCGGAAACGCAAAAAAGAATTTAGAGAATAAACGACTACGAGTTATCGACTTCTGACAGCTGCGATTATAAAAGATATGCGGGCCGGTGTGTGTAAGTGCGTTGGTACGTGCGTGGGTACGTGCGGGTGGACGTGCGGGTGTGCGTGCATGTGTACGTGCGGGTGTACGTGCGAGTACGTGCGTGTGCATTCACGCGGTGCGCGGTGAACTGTTCGACGAGGCAGCGGCCTGCAACAGCGCGCAACAGCGTGGCGGCGGCGGCGCGTGGCCAGCGGCAGCCGGCGGCGGGCGGGCGCGGGCGGGTGTGTGTACGTGCGAGTGTGCGTGCGAGTGTGCATGCGGGTGTGCGTGCGTGTGTACGTGCGTGTGTACGTGCGGGTGTACGTGCGAGTACGTGCGGGTGTGCGTGCGTGTGTACGTGCGAGTGTACGTGCGAGTATGTGCGTGTGCACTCACGCGGTGCGCGGTGAGCTGTGCGACGAGGCGGCAGTCCACGACAGCGCGAGGCCAGCGTCGGCCGGCGGCGGGCGGGCGCGGGCCGGTGTGTGTACGTGCGGGTGTGCGTGCGTGTGTATGTGCGAGTACGCGCGTGTGCACTCACGCAGTGCGTGGTAAGCTGTGGGTCGAGGGGGGCGGTCCGCGACGGCGCGCAGCAGCGTGGGGGCGGCGGCGCGTGGCCAGCGGCAGTCGGCGGCGGGCGGGCGCGGCCTGGTGTGTGTACGTGCGGGTGTACGTGCGGGTGTGCATGCGGGTGTGCGTGCGTGTGTACATACGTGTGTAAGTGCGGGTGTACGTGCGAGTACGTGCGGGTGTGCGTGCGTGTGTACGTGCGTGTGTACGTGCGAGTACGTGCGTGTGCACTCACGCGATGCGCGGTGAGCTGTGCGACGAGGCGACAGCCCACGACAGCGCGAGGCCAGCGTCGGTCGGCGGCGGGCGGGCGCGGGCTGATGTGTGTACGTCCATGTGTACGTGCGGGTGTACGTGCGAGTACGTGCGTGTGCACTCACGCAGTGCGCGGTGAGCTGTGCGACGAGGCGGCGGTCCGCGACGGCACGAAGCAGGGTGGCGGCGGCGGCGCGCGGCCAGCGGCGGCCGGCGGCGGGCGGGCGTAGGCCGGCGAGGCGCGCACGCATGGCCTGCGCCGGCAGCTGCGCCCAGCGCCGCAGCAGCGGCCGCAGCCCCGCCGTCGCGGTCCGCTCTACCGTGCCGTAGTCCACATGACGCACCTAAGATAAAGATTACAATGATCAAAGATATTGATGATAATATCAATGACAATAACGATTACAATGACGAAACTCCTGTTTAATGTAATGCAATCTATTTATTTCAAAAACATAAGCTTGGTGACAATACGCGAAATTAAATAGCAGTATGGTTTTATTTGTTTATATTAGTGCGCGGTGAGCGCCAACCATTTTCATGCACTTCCCCCGAAGGGAACGCTAAATTGGGAACTGGACCGTAGTCCACAGCAAAATAACTGGCGAACCAGTAAAAGAGGGCTTGGCCCCTTGGTAGTGCGTAAGCACAAACATCGACCGAAGTCACGCATGTCAATGCGTGTAAACGCCATAAAGAATACGAACGAATCCAGCCAAAGTGAATGTACGTCACATGGTTTAGGCAGATAGGCACACTGGCCGTAAACCCTCCGTGAGCGCTACCACATACCAGACCGCCGGTCCTGCAGACGTGATTTAAGTGTATGGCATCACCACCAATTTGCATGATCAGCACGGCTACTAGCCGCAGAGCGTGTCATGAGTCTACCGCTCACCTCAAGGGAATGGGGTCCCACGTTGTACGGCTTTCGGCCGCAGTCTTGAGAGTCTCCTCAGATCCTCCCTCCAGCTACCACCCACATGAGGTCGACACATACGCTCCACCAACCAATACAACGGCAGATATAGCCAAAAGGCAGTTATAAGATGTTAGTAATAATTTGCCATCAGAAAGAGTTTGTGTAACTAACGTTGAGTATATGCATTTTCGATCATGTTTGTCTCAACCGCCAACAAGTTGCCTTCAATCATTCAAAGGTGGGAAAGTTACAGATATATTTTTATGTTGTTATATAAAACATCATGGAGGTCAGACAGTCTGCAGCCCCGTAATGAAGGGACCCGACTTGGGCAAAACTACTTAGGTGTGAGTCAAATCAAGACGCAGAGAGCGCCCCACCTCCCACCATTGAGAATAGCGTCCCACCAAACAAACATCGCAGAGACGCAATGCTGCAGAACGCAACAAGCATACGATACGATACGACAAGAATACGACTATGGTCGGGCTTACACCAACCCAAGGTACCCCATACATCCTAAAAGACATCACCACCCGCATACCTCCATCGACCAGAACCACAGGAATGCGTCGAATCAGGCGCAGCACACTCGCAGATCCAGCACAAGACTCAATACCGCAAGTAGCAGTAAGCATCAATGCAACTATCATACGGATAGCGCTCCGACACAACACACCCACATGATCCCTATCGACTTTGGTAAAATAATTAATATTGTTGTTAACTAAAAAATAAGACCAACGTATCATAGTAGCACGCTACTAAGACGCTAGTGAACAAAACTCCACATATCATAGTGATAATGCACTAAGACATGAAGTTGAGTATGTGTTTTTTGACGCCCCCTTATATAGAAATTGATTATTAATTATTAATAATAATGATGGGCCGTCACAATAGGATTACTTTTTCAAAGACTATAAGTATTTGACATTAGACTAATGGGTCTCTAGTTGTTTATTTCATCTTTGTCGCCCTTTTTGTGAAGCAGGATAATCGTTGATGTAGTCCATTGTGTCGGAATTTCTTCGGTGTACAGTATATCGTTGAAAATATATTTTAATAAAGGTGCAATGTAGTATTTGCAGTAAAAGCAATTCGTTGTTGATCTCGTCGAGATCAGGAGCTTTATCTTTCTTCTGTGTTTCAATTGCTTTATTTATTCCTTCTACTAGTATGGGTGGTACACTATTGTTGTTATTTAAATCAGTTTTGTCTACTTGTATCTCGCTAGAATATAAGTTTTCGTAGAAGTTTGTAGCTATTGATAATATGTCTGGTCTTTTAGTCTTTGTCTTGCAGTGGCGGTCTTTCAGATTTGGTATCCAGTTTTTATTGTCTGATAAAAATTTAAGAGCCTTTTTTATACCTTCAGTCTTGCTAATGTGTTTTTCAAAAGGCTCGAGTCTAAAATATTCTCTATCTTTTCTCATTTGGTTTTTTATTTCTTTGCTCTGTTTGCCTATTTGTTCCCGACGAATTTCGTTTTGCTTAAGGTATTAATTAATTTGGACCTTTCCTTTAGGAGTTCAATTCTTTTTTCTGGTAAGTGTCTTTTATCCTTTGGTTTGCTCGCAGTACTGATTTCTGGTCTTGCTGTTAGTATTTCGTGTAGTATATTGTATTTCTGTAGAGTGTTTAAGTGCTGAAGAGATGATTCTGTGACAGAGTTGAGATTTTCTTTGATGGTGGCTATTCTTGCTTTGTTGTACGATGTTGTTGATTTTACTTTGAAGGGCCTCCTTAACCTTAGAGTAGATGATGTGTCAGACATGCTCTAAGCATTCTATGGTTACTATTGAAATTGAGGTTTGATTTAGTGCCACAATCGTCAAATGATTTGGGCCTGTTAGTTCGAATGTAGTCTATTTCGTTTCTGTAGCGTCCATCTGGCGATGCCCATGTCCACTGTCTAGAAGCTTTTTCTTTAAATTTACTGTTTAGTATTTTCATATTGTTTTCAAAAGCTATTTCCATTCGTTTTTGTTCATTTCTTGTTCTTTTTCCACTACTGTAAGGGCCCAGTACGATATCTTCTCCGTTCCTTGGTGCCTCGACTTGTGCACTAAAATCGCCATTACAATGCAGTTTTTATGTACGTGTTCTTTAAGGGCGGTATTAAGAGACGAGTAAAATGACTCAATTTCTAGAGTGGTAGATTGCTTAGTTGTTGAAAAAATTTGCACAATCTTAATATATACAGGGTCATTTTTAATTTACTAAAGACCTTTTGGGAATATAATGGTGGCATAATTACAAACGATTTTAGCGAGATCACTCTTTACAGAATGTAATACATTTACATAAAAGCTACTTTTAAGTTTTTATTGTCATGTCTCACTCCTTTTAAGTCTGTATTTTAAAAATCACAAATATTAAAATGAGCAACAGGTACCTAATTATAAAGTATGACCTCTTCGACCCGCCCCCGCGCCGGTCGACCCTCGCACTCAGCTGATTGTGTCGCGAGTGCCTTCTGCCCACAGAGTACTTTTATACAGCCTACTAAACTATTCACCACTGTGCCTATGGTACGAGGGCGCCACTCCAAATGACAAATTTACATTAACTTTTCATATACTCATTTTTTGCATAAAGCAATTTGATTAACTATTTGATTATTTTATTAATTTGTTTACGAATTTATAGACATTTTTTAATAGACATTTAGGTAGTTTGTGACGATCACTGCTTGCCAGTAATGCTGCCTTCGGATGGCAACGCTGCCTCCGGCGGTTATCAACGCCTCAAGCAACGTCGCACGTACGGCAGACCAAGGCCAAGCCAAAGGTATACTGACGTCGATACAGGCGTCATCAAAGGCGCCGCCTGCCCTTTTCGGTTCGCAGCACGTGCAAATTAAATGTCGAGTATTATTAGCTATTTTTTATTTATTAAATGCAAGTTGTATTTAAAAAATGAATGCGGATTAAAATAATTACAAATATTACAATAAAATATTTATAATGATTAAATACAGATATTAACACACATTTCACAACAGTAATTGAATAAAAATATTTAGGTAAAAAGGGTTCAATAAAAGTATTAAAATACAAATTTATACATTAGAATTAGAGGTACTCGTCCGCGGATGGCGGTGAGTATCGCGCACATAGCGTTCAAAATAATCACCTCCACATTCTATGCATAGATAACACCTAAAAGTTAACTGTTCACCGACACGAGATAAAAGTTGAGTATTCATTTTGATTTGATCGAATGCCCAAATTATTTTTTCTTTCAACATGTCGCGGGTATCGAGTGTGCGACCAGTATACACTAATGTCTTTACATGCCCCACAAATGAAAATCCATTGGTGTGATATCTGGCGATCTGGGAGGCCATACACAAGGCCCGCCGCGTCCGATCCAGCGTCCAGGGTATTCTCTGTTTAAATAATTCTTAACTTGACGAGCATAATGCGCCGGTGCCCTGTCAAGTTGATAATAAATATTGCGTAGAGATGCAAGTGGTATATCCTCTAACAATTCTGGCAGCGTGTCGGTGAGAAAATTGTGATAGCTTTCACTATCTTTCACTTCCATGAAAACAGGGCCCAGTAACGTTGTATTAATAAGGCCTGCCCACACACTGACAGTTGACACTAAACCGGTGTTGAAAGCTATGTGGTTTTGGTTCATGTGGATTTTCATAGCACCACAAGTGTTCATTGTGCGTATTAAATAGCCCTATTCTACCAAATGTTGCTTCATCAGTCCATAAAATGTTAGCTCGTTCAGCAGCTAGTAACCAATTACAAAATGTAACTCGCGGAGGTTTGTCAGCTTCGCTGAGTTCATGAACACGGTGCAGGTGAAAGGGGTACTTCCCTTCATTGTGTATGACACTCCATGCGTAATATTGTGACACATTGAACTGTCGGGCTGCTTCATAAGTGCTCGCTGCTGGATTTTCTTCAAAAAACTGCAGTATGTCTTCCTGCTCACGTACTGTGCGCCGCGGTGGACGACCACGATCGATAGATACAGGCTGGAATTGCCCGTAATCTCGCAACCGCTGTGTAGCGCCTAGCATCGTAGCGTAGCTCGGTGCACGTGAGTGGGTTAATCGTCTTGAATATTCACGGCAGGCTTCACTAACATTATCGTTGCAAATTGCTAAAATTCGCACCATTTCGGTATACTCAACATTTAAGTATCGGTAAGCCATCGTAACAAGGTAACGTTCACAATAATCTCACAACGAAAAGACAAGCGTCGCGGGCGCATCAAAGGCGAATGACGACACAGGTTACTAATTAGGTCAAGTTTAAATGAGTATCGTCGCCTCCTACACCCCTCCCTCGCCACGCGCTCTTTGTTGCTAACTAGGACTATTACCGTTTAGAAGCTCCAATTAAAATATTTTTATTTTTGTATGAAAATAAAAATTGAAGAAATATATTCTTTTTTCTTACAGATGTTGTTATGGTGTAAATAATATATTCCCCAAAGGTCTTCAGTAAATTAAAAATGACCCTGTACATAAATTACGTGTCACGTTGTTTGTCCGCGATGGACTCCTAAACTACTTAACCGATTTTAATTTGCACCGTGTCGTTTGGTCCCGAGATAGGATTTTTTTTTGCCCATGAGTGACCCACAATTTTTTACCAATTTAAGTATTTTTAATAGGACATGACGGGGTCGTCGAAAAGGGCAGAACAACTTCTGCCTGGCAAGCTAGTAGACCACACTTCTTTGTCTGAAGGGATCTTTATATTTAATATAGCAATTCTTTCGGATATACCATTTATTTCCACAATAAAGTTTTTGAATTCTTTCTTGATTAAGAATCCCACTCCATGTCTTCCTGGTGTTTCACGTTTATAATACAATATGAACTGGCTGTATTCCACAATAGCTTCACCATTACGTCTTACTTCGCTCAAGCCGATAATGCCCCATTTAATATTTTCTATAGAATGGAAAAGTTCTTGTAGGCTCTCTTCGGATCTTAAAGATACGTGTACGTATTTGGTATTTTGTATCCTGATTTCAAAAACATTTTTTGAGGCAGGGGGTAGTGTTAGGAGAGTAGTGGTCGACTTTCTCCGCGGTGACCAGCCGTCTTGGGGTGAGTGTTTTGGTTGTTTCGTTGGGTAGATACTTTTTGTTGGTTAATTTGTGTTTCCTATTCTCGGTGTCTATTAGTCGTGTTTTTTTTTTTGGTTGTAGGTGACAGTAACGCGGATATACCCCGTGCCACGAAGTATGGCATGCTTGTTTTATTGATCTTCTTTGGAGCAGACGTGGATGGTTGGTTTAACAATTTGTCTGGAGAATCGGTGCAATCTCTTTTCCTCTTATCTCTTTTTGCTTGTTTCGATTCTGTGACTAATATATCTTTAACAAAATAACAGATATTACCCTTTGTCCTTTCTTCCTTTAGTTGGAGCAGACGTTGCTTCCTCGTCTCCAGAGTTTCTTTACTGAGATGCTCTTTGATGTAGATTACCGAATCCAGTTTCTTTTTGTTCTTGAGTACTTCATTTCGTTTCCAGTTTGTTGTAAAGAAATAGGACGTGGTTTATTATTTTTCTTTTCTCCTAGTCTATAAGCGTTATTTATTTCATTTAAGACGATGTGTATATTCAGATTTCTTTCTAGTAATATAATGGTGGATTCGTCTAAGGACTCGTTATGTTGTTCCTCTTTAACTCCAAAGATGATGTTGTTTTTTCTTATGTGCTCTTCCATTTGCTTGATTTTTTCATGTAAGATCTTGACTTCCGTCTTCAGGCTTTTATTCTCTTCCACAAGAGCAGTTAATTTTTCGTTGATACTTTCTAAAACGTTTTTAGCGACTGCTTCGGTTATCTCCCTTGTTTCCGCTGCCATTTCCTCCTTCATTGTTCCCCAGAAATTTTTCATTTGTTTATCCATGTTATTAGTAGTTTTTTGTTGCAGCATGACAATACTGGGTTGGTGTTGATTTTTTTTAAGCAACACTAGTTTTGAGATGGTAACAATATTTAAGCTTTAGGTAGTACCAGTAGTGTGTCACATCTGTAATTTATGGTCGCTGTTGTGTTTAGTAGGTTGGTAACTCAAACTGTCACCGAGGGATGGAAGAATGATTTTGCTTGATTTATGCTTGATTTTGCTTTTCTAACCTGTTCGACGGTGTAAACAACAAATCAAAAACAACACAACAAAACAACAAACAAATCCCGTGTGGTGGCGGTTGAGAATATCCAGTACCCCATATCTTCCCGTGGGTGTCGTAAGAGGCGACAGAGGGAGACAGGCAGGAGATGGGCAGCAGCATCTTCCTAAAAACAACAATAATATAATAAAAAACTGCGGTTGCAAACCCGCTCGCCAAGCGTGTCAACTATGGCAAATATCCCCCCATTAATAACGACGCAAACAAACGGCCTCCAGTCCCCGGCGGCCTCGCTATTGCTGGCTACGGTGGCGACCATGGTAACGGCGGGGCAGAGGATGCTAAGAATCTCCGGTGGAGGTCGGTTGCCACCTACGACGACTCGACCTGGTAACATAACGCACGCACACTGAGGACTGACGAGAAGATACTGGAGCTGGAAGAAGAGGTAGACAAGTTGCGCTGGCATATTATTGGATTATCCGAGGTCCGAAGAGAGGGGGAGGACACAGTAATCCTTGAGTCCGGCAACTTGTTCTATCACCGTGAGGGCTACCATCTGTCCCAAGGAGGTGTCGGATTTATCGTCCACAAGTCTCTCGTCAACAACGTTGTAAAGATTGGGAGTGTGTCGACGAGGGTCGCGTACCTGATACTCAGAATCACCAAACGATATTCGCTGAAGGTCATACAGGTTTACGCACCAACCTAGGCACATCCCAATGAGGGGGGTGGAGGAAATGTATGAATATATTTCCAAAGCCATGCATTCCTCCAAAACCCACTACACGGTGTTGATGGGAGACTTCAACGCAAAACTAGGCATAGGAAAAAGCAGTGAGCTGAAGTTAGGGAAATTTGGAGTAGGGCAACGGAACCGTAGGGGCCAGCAGCTGGCCGACTTTATGGAGAAAGAGGGACTCTTTATGATGAACTCTTTCTTCCAGAATCAGCCCTACACAAGTGGACCTGGTCGAGCCCCGACGGTTCGACAAAAAATGGGATTGACTTCATTATGAAGACCAGACGCCAACTGTTCAGTGATGTCTGGGTGATCGCAAGGGTGAAAACCGGCAGCGATCACCGAATGGTTAGAGACACACTGAACCTAAACGTTAAGTTGGAGAGGTCTCGTCTAATGAAGTCAACGCTCCGTCCCCCTCGTGCTCTAATCCAGAATCCCGAGACTTTTCAGCTCGAGTTACGTAACCGCTTTCAGTGCCTAGAAGATTGCAATGCAGTGGACGATATGAATGACAAGCTCGTGGAAACCCGCCGCAGAAGAACACAAAAACTCTCCGATCACACTCTTAATCTCATGGCTGTTATACGGGAGATGCGGCTGCAATCGTCAACAGATTTAACAGCATACAGGCAACTGAACAGACAGATCTCCAAATGCATGCGGCGAGACTTGCGCAACTTTAATATTGCTCGTATTGAAGAAGCGATTGAGTTCAAAGTCTTTGCCAGAGATCTGTCTGCCATTAAGAGCCAACTGTCAAAGCTGAAGACTGAGTGTGGCAGCATCGTTTCCGGGACATCTGAGATTCTGAGTGAGATTGAGAGGTTCTATGGGCAGCTGTACACATCATCGTTGGAGCCACACGCAAGTGTGAGTCAGTCACGTCAGTCTGAGCGAGATTAGAATGGCTCTCCAGCATCTTAAAAACGGCAAGTCCCCGGGCGAAGATGGAATTACAGCGGAGCTTCTGAAAGCGGGTGGAAAACCGGTACTTGAAGTCCTTCAGAGGCTCTTTAATTCCGTCCTCCATGGTGGCATTACTCCGGAGACGTGGAGCAGAAGTGCGGTGGTATTGTTCTTCATGAAAGGTGACAACGCCCTCTTGAAGAACTACAGACTTTCTGAGCAGCGTCTACGTGCTGTTTTCGACAGTCATTACGAATCGTCTCGCACGCAGACTCGACGACTTCCAGCCTCCCGAACAAGCCGGTTTCTGAAAAGGCTTTAGTACCATAGACCACATACATACCCTTCGGCAAATTGTAAAGAAGTCTGAAGAGTACAATCTGCCACTTTGAATGGACTATGAGAAAGCCTTTGATTCCGTCGAAATTTGGGCGGTGCTACAGTCTCTTCAGCGGTGCCAAGTTAACTGTCGGTATATTGAAGTGCTGAAGTGTTTGTACAGTAATGCTACGATGTCTATCCGAGTACAGAACCAGAGTACGAAACCTATCTAACTGCAGAGAGGTGTAAGACAGGGTGACGTTATTTCCCCGAAACTTTTCACTGCTGCATTGGAAGACGTTTTCAAGCTACTGGACTGGAAAGGATACGGTATTAACATCAAAGGCGAGTACATCACTCACCTTCGATTTGCCGACGATATAGTCCTTATGGCAGAATCGCTGGAGGACTTAAGCACTATGCTCAATGACCTCAATAGTGCCTCCCAACGGATAGGTCTTAAGATGAACATGGACAAAACAAAGATTATGTTTAATGTCCATGTCACACCTATGCCGGTAGTTGTTGGGAGCACTAAGCTCGAAGTTGTTGACGAGTACGTTTACCTAGGACAAATAGTCCGACTAGGTAAGTCCAACTTCGACCGAGAGGTCAATCGACGGATTCAACTCGGCTGGGCAGCGTTCGGGAAATTACGACGCATCTCGTCAGGTATACCTCAAAACCTGAAAACTAGATTGTACAACCAGTGCGTGTTGCCAGTGATGACTTACGGATCTGAGACTTAGTCCTTCACTGCTGGCCGTATGAGGACGCTCAAAGTTGCTCAGCGAGCTATGGAGAGGGCTATACTCGCAGTTTCTCTGCGTGATAAACTTAGAAATGAGGATATCCGCAGTAGAACCAGAGTGACCGACATAGCCCAACGTATTATTAAGCTGAAGAGGCAATGGGCCAGCCATATAGCTCGAAGAACCGACAACTGTTGGGGAAAAAAAGGTTCTCGAGTGGCAGCCTCGTACCGGTAGGCGAAGTGTAGGGCGACCCCCCACTAGATGGAGTGACGACCTGGTAAGACATGCAGGCGTCGATGGATGCAGGTGGCTCAGGACCGTGCTTTGTGGCACACCTTGGGGGAGGCCTATGTTCAGCAGTGGACTTGTGAAGGGCTGTAATGATGATGATGAACCTGATTAAAACTACTTTTACTGATTTTATCGCGTTTATTTTTACTTTTTATTTACTTTTATTTTTAATTCCCGACGTTTCGGGCGCTTTCCAGCACCCAAGGTCACGGGGGATGATGAACCTGTTCGACGGTGTAAACAACGAAGAAATTGTTTTGCTTTTTGCACTTCGGTCGTCCAAATAATAATAATAATAGTAATAACTCTTTTATTTCAGACATAGATCCATATAAGTTGTTAGTAATTGTGCACCTTAAACACTAATATTAGTTTCTTAAATATGAGTAGTAATTTTTCAACAAATCGTTCCAATAATCTAGCATATGCCCGTCACATCTTTCGGCGAACACGTTCATTATACTGTTGCGGCTGCCACGTATTCTGCTCAACAGCGAGTACACTCTTTTACGCATTATTGCGAAGAAGTCATCTGTTCGTGTTTCTGCAAACATCCCTGATGCGCTACAAAATCGAGGCAGCCCCAACAGGTAAACCTGAAAATGTTATTATATAAATAACGAAGGTCACTGTAAGCGCGCTTTGTATACGTTGTCCATAAGCTACATGCGTAAAAAGATTGACAATAGGTTTTGAAGAGTGTAATCTTAACTTCCTTGCTGCACCGCGCAAACCTACGAATCAACATATTTCCACGGATCGACAGTGCCCTTCGCTCCCTTTCGATGTCCATATCATCTTTACAATTTTCAGTTATGTAGTGGCCTAGATATTTAAACTCTTTTACTTTTAACCTAGTGCAGTATCATTGATCAAAATAGGAGGCACATTCTTTGGACATTTTTTTCCAGCTCTAAATACTCGTACCATAAACTGACTTTTCTTAACATTGTATACTAAACCATGTCTAACAGCATAATCCTCACAAACGCGTAACAATTTTCTAAGAGTACTAACAGACGGGGCCAGCAGCACCATATCATCGGCGTAACTTAAATTGTTTAAACAAATTCCATCTACATAGCATCCGATATACATGCTGCTCAATTCACCGATTAGGTCATTAACGTACAGGCTGAATAGGTTCGGTGAGCTTAAACCCCTTGTCTCACCCAATATTCTAGCCTATACGGATCGGAAAACGTATCTGCCCATTTGACATTATTTATTTAATTGTTGTACCAATACTCGAACATGGCAACAAGTTCAGCTGGTATTCCGGTTTTCCTCAACTTACTCCACAATATTTCATAGGAAACCATATCGAAAGGCTTTTGACAAGTCTAGAAAACAGGCATACACAGGTGTTTTTCTGTCCATGTAGTACTCAACGGTTCGCTTAATGGCCAAGATGGCACTCTCTGTTGAAAGCCCAGTCCGGAAACCAAATTGAGCATCGTGTAGCTGCAAATATTTTCTTAAATACGTATCAAGTAGACCGTCCAGTACCTTTGCTAATATTGTAGCCAACGATATAAGTCTATAGTTGGTTATGTCCGAGATGTCCCCAGTTTTATTTTTTAGAATTGGCACCACAATAGTCCTCATTATATTATTAGGAAGATATCTATGTCGTAGGCACAGTGAAAAGAACAAACCCAAAACTCTAGCAAGATGGCCACCAGCATGTTGCAAATGCTCAATGCTAAGATCATCATACCCAGGA